GGGGTGCATTAACATGAAACAGCGCAGGAAGAGAACACACACATGGCAAGAACACAACCTCATCTTAACACCCACATGAATTCTGCATGTCGTGACAGCCTCAGCTTGATTGACTTGTCTTATTTGTCATGTCACGGCGTAATCACTGACGTCAGAAGCCGTTGTGCCAAATCTCGGATGTGGTAACTTTGATTGGCTACATTAGCACCTTTCTTCCACTTCCGCCTCCCACGTACGCCAGGGCGTTGTGCAGATAATGGAATCCCGAAACGCCCCCAGACATTTGCTCAGTCCAGCACATAATCTCATCTTTTTCACACGCTAAATGTTGATATGGTTTTCAAAAGATAGATAAGACACGAAGCCGGGCGTTATATCAAACTTTTAGGTAAAATGCAGACTCTGTGTGGGTATCAAGTTGCAGAAATATTAGAGCTTTCAAATAAGCAAAAGCCATCTAGGACTGTCTTTACCTTTGTGTCCTCCTTTCTGGAAATCATTTTTTATCATATCTATCTCTCGCGGATACCTTACCCTTCGCTGGAAACACATTAACTACGCCTTTCTTCCAAGTACGCCAAACGTGTTACATTTGTATAATATGAAAGGAATATTATACAATAGGCCTATGGTGAAAGGAGAAAATGGACAAATACCCGTGTAGAATCTACGGAACAACACCCAGCACTGTTCACTGACTTAGTCTAATTTTTATTCCTATCGATGATTTCTTTTAAAATGTAATAGGCTACCCATAAACTCTTCTGTTTTGTAAGAGTTTGCGGTAGATCCTTTTGTTTCAGCTTATTTGTGTTTATCACACCTAAATCTTTTAAATTTCCGTTGAAGGAATTTTCATACCATAGCTTACTTTCGTTAAGAAATTGTGAAATGTCGACTATTTTCTTTCCTGTTCACGTTTTCGTCATGAGGATATTTTGTTTATAAAACATGCACGGAAACGGTTAAGAAGTCAGGCTGTGTGGTTGGCAAGCCCAGTTGGAAAAGAAAGAGCTAACTGTGCTGTTTCAGTCCCCAAATGTTCATACCAAGGTGCCACCCTTCACTGATATTATTTTCTGTTTTCTCACTCATGTCACATCATATGTCATTTTACTTTCAAATCACTTTATTCCTATTATTGATGTAAAACGGGTGCATTCTTTGCTGTGCTTTTATTGAAATATGATGTTTTGCAATTGCTTCAATATGACTCATTTTGTTCTTGTTGTAACAAAGCAGGGATATTTTTGGAGGGATAGGGGGAAGGGGGAAGGGGGAAGGGGACTGGTATGGAAGTTCAATATATACAATTATTGCGTCATGTACAGATAATTAGATAAAATGCACAGAGAGGAAAATAAGCTCCGATAGTCTAATGCAATTAATTACTTCAGTGTTATTTTCTGTCGGACACGACCGTTTCAATGAATCAGTTGGACGCCAGTATTTTGTTATTTTCATTGTGTCAATATGTGTACTTATTTATACTGCAAATGAACACAAAGTTTTAGCTCTTTCGTTGTAAATAAACTTCAAAACGTTAATGAAACAAAAGCTGCTTCAAGTGTTATTTAATTTACTGATTGTTCCTTTACAAGATGAGCCTTTGTTTTTTATATTTCATTTGCTTGGCATTTAACTCCTGGTTTAAGAACAATATCGCCCCCAAAGCGGAATTCTGGACCAGTAGTTAGAGCAAAAAAGGAAGAAGGTAAGAAACAACGTACTTCGCACACGACGTCACGCGACCCAAA